GAGTGTAAGGACAGGTCCGAAGTGTCAAGCCTCGGACTGCTACAGTAATTCTTTTATGACCGAAGTGAAGGATAAACTCAAAGCTTTCCGCTCAAATAGCTGCATGACAGTATCAATGAGCAGGCCCGCACCCGATTCCTTATGATGAGCTACACAGCGGTTATGATAGACATCCTCCCATCGGAATATCGCTCAATTTCCCGATCCCGAAATAACCGTTTGGAGATACACATCAGATCTCGAATATCTTGCTTGGAAAGCGACGTGGCTTCCTCATTAGATCCTATAAATACCCTCGGGTTACGTAAAAAGATAATTGAAACCAACCCTAAGCTCTTTTTATCTCCGCCCTAAAGGTAGTCCCGATTATTGCTGACTTAAGTATCGGAGTGTCTACCCCGAGTTCCACCTCGGGGCTTTGCAGGTCATCCCGGAATGCAGGCGCGGACTGAAGAAGGACTTTTGGTTTGGTGCAATTACAATAAGTTAAACTATTAAATATAATTGAACCTTTTAATATTGAAAATTATTCTCTTATTCAATAATTACTATTTTACAATTCAATATGTACAAAATAAATTATAAAATAAGATTTTCAAATTAAATATGTCTGTTCATCTAATATTATAATATATTTTATAAATATTATTAAAAAAATATTATACTTGTAGGATTTTCAAAAAAAAAAAAAAAAACTTGCACTTATTTTTCATTCATTTTGATGAAAGACATATAAAGTTTTACAATGGGAAAATAATTTACAAAACTTTTTGCAAAGACCTTGTGTGATTGATAGGATGAAAATTGTTACCACTATTATTTTGCGTAGGGGATTGAAGACATGCACTCTAAAGTTTGGCTTGGTTTACTAGAAAAATGTTCACCGAAGTTATACCATGTTCATCAAAGTTCAACTTTTGAGTGATAATTAAAATATTTTTAAATATGAACTGCATTTCATAAAATTAAGAGATGAATTTTAGCTGTAATTGAACTAATTTACTCAAAATCATAAAAATGTTGGAAAACAACTGCTGTATTTTGTAATTGAACCAATTTACTCAAAAGTCCAAGCAACTTTTATTGCCTATCCATTTCTATCTAGTCATGAGCTCCACCCCGAAGCAACAATCTCCCCTCTTCCACTCTTTAAAAGTCTTACCCTTCCCTTTGATTTTTCATTGGATTTTTTTTTTTAGGTTGTGTCATTATCATACAGAATAATAATATAATAAATATAATTATTAATATAAATTGTCTAGCACTATATGACCTAATGGTCATAATCTACGTG